TTTTAGATTTACACACACATACATATTTCGAGAGCATTTGGGCTAATGCACCTTTGGGCTAAAAATATTTAAAAACAGTATATCTTTAGAATTTCCGATACACAGCTTCGCGTGCTGAAGATAAAAATGTTTTATTCCGTACAGTATTGACATTGCTCGTCTTGAAATCTTTGTTAGTCAAAAATTTCTTAAACTTTTAAAAAATATGAAATAGACAATAAAAAAAATTTGAAATTCTAAAATGGGGCTTCCAGGCGCCCAAGTTCGGGTGGAGGACTACGTTATCCGTAGAACGCAACAATATTTTTACATATATAAATTGTATGTCTGATACTGCCGATTTTAACAAAAAAGGGCAATTGTTATATTCAATATAACATAATATAATTTGAAATGTATTATTTACCTCTCAACATCATTTCTGGGTAATTTCTATAATCAATGTTCATACCAAATTTTGTAGTAGGTAAATGTATGTATATGGTTAACATAACAAAAACTTTTCAACCAATACTGTATCAATCACATGACATAAGAGTTCGAGTAATTAACATAGTGTAACATAAAAAATAAAACAATTCTAAATTTCAGGAAGTAGCGTTGAGAGACATAATGTAGGGCAGTAACTCGTTCAAATGCTATGGTCCAGTGCAAAGTCAAATAATTAAAACAATTACAAAGCTAGGTAGGTAAAATCAAGCTAACGTTTATTTATGGAGATAATAGTAAGAATACAGTGACATTTTAAAATGGTGGTGACCGGTCATCTTTATATCTGAAGAAACAACTGAAATTTTACATACCTTCTTTACATATGTAACATTCACCGTCTCCGTTTGGGAGGCATCATACAAAATTTTGGGTACTTGATACAGGCGAAAAGCTCAGACAGATACTGTCACGATGCAGGTAATAATAATTAAACGTTTGAAGATACATTTGCAATATGCAAGAAAGAAAAAAAAACAATATGAGAATTAATGACGGGCAATTCTTTCGGAGGCCCGGCTTTAACCCCATAGCCTCTTCCAACCGGTAGCACTCCGGTCTTTCCCAAAACACCGGCGATACTGAAGTCAGTAAATACTCAGGAATTCAATACGCCTTCCTTCTTTGTAGGTTGTTTAGTCGTTCATCACACCAGGGACTCCGGACTGCTGGTCTCCGCTCTGCCTCTTAGAAGTCATCTCTCGTTCCTTTTTCTTCGAGAAAATTTCTTTCTCCGTCTCCTTGGCTCCGTCAGAGAGAAAAAAAGGGTGTAATAGAAAATCTTTTCTCCGTCCCCTCCTCGAAAACACTGCGCAGCCACTTTAATAGCTGGCGCGTTTTTTGAAAATTTGGCGTAGAAGGTGAACAGCAACCAGCCAAGTCCTGCAACCCAAACAGAGAAATCTTCACGGGAAGAGGTTTCCCGACTATCAGAAGAGCCACTTAACGCAGTTCAATCATTCGGCCTCCAAGGCCACACCGAAGTGTCAACAATCTCCGCAGACGAAAACAAGGGGGGGGGATCTAGCCTCGCATCGAGGTCCAACTCGACCATGTAAAGCTTCCTACCCAACGATTATTTCCCCCTCCTCACAAATTCGCCGTAGAACCTTTCCCTGCTAAGCGCTGTCCATCAACGGGGTCCCCTTTAAGGGAAACTCCAGACAGTATATACATACAACACGTCATCCGACGTGTGGTTTTTCGTTTGCGCGAAAGAATTTCGGGGTGCAGTAATCCTCTCATAAGGGATTCTGAGAATGAATTCCAAGCCGACGGTTGGGATGTGAAAATTTTCAGAACCAAGTCAACACAAACGACTTTCGACATTAAAAATTAAACTATTACATAACAATATAACTCATCAAAAAATGTCAGCAGTATATAAATTGTTTCTTCAGCAGCATTTTAAGTACAATTACTCAGTACCCAGATTGAATTTCAATTACTATTGATTTACCTTATCGCCAGTCAGAAAATATGTATTCGACAACTTTAATCGAAAGAGGGGTAAAAAAATTAACTTAAGTTAAAAAAATTAACACACTAAAAGTGCAGCAAACAAGACTTTAAAATAATAAAGTTAAACAACCTTAAGGGTCAAAACAAAAGTACAAAAACCAAGTAAACTTAAGTCTCTAAACTCAAATTAAAACTAAACAACTTCAACTTAAGAAAACTTTTAAAGCAACCAAACCTAAATTTTAAAGTTACAAAGTTACAGTTTAAACTTACGACCAACTTTAAACAACTAAAGCAAAAAAAATTAATTAAGAACTTCAATTACATATCAAAACTGAAATAGTAAGCAAAACTTAAGCTTGAAAATAATAGCAATTAATACATAACACAATGCACAACTAAATGTTATAGCAGGCCTATATACAAAATTTTAACTTTCATTTAACTTTCAATGATTAATCGTTTGTGCGTTATCCGAGAGACATGCAAGCATGCGTCCCTACGTACGTGCATATGGAAGTCACTAAACAATCCCTTGTAAATCCCTAAAAAACATAGCCTAAAAGAATGGCTTTCATATCGAACATTTAAAAAGGTAATCTTTAAATTTTAAGAATTAATTTGATAGCCACGAAATCGTTCTAAAAATGTAGAAACAGCTTTTGTATTATTAACGCTAGCTAGCAAAATTCATTATGTGCTTTGTCTTTTTGTAATAATTATTCCAATCGTAAGCGGCTATTCTTACACAAAAGAAGTTAAATCTTACATCGTAAATACTTCGTAGTACATTATAATGTTATTTTCAAATGACCAACGTCACTGTCAGATACCAAAATATCTTTCCACTTGACGTTACAGAATTCATAAAATTTCTAAACACTCAACATAAAATCTTGACTTGACATTATGTTGACAGTTACGGCCTCATAAAATCTCCTGCTCTTTAGAATGCTCTAAAATTTTTGACAGTCGTCGTATACATGTTTCTGAAAGCCTATTTATGATTCGCCAGTTAAACATTCTTCCCTTATACGAAAGATGCGAAACTGATTTCAAAGAGAGGATACTGTGTACTGTGTTAATAAGCTGGCTGCTTAAAGTTTTGCTGGATTTCAGAGAATAATTTCTAACTTTGTTGCCAATATTTGTAAATATTTAAACGCTTTATGACTGCATAGTTGTTTTGGGGTATTGTTATAGTGTTGTGTATTGTTTTACTTAGTTATTAGAAGTAGGTAAGAAGGTACGTAGGTCCTTAGATTATTGCCACCGAATATCATCGCCTTATTTTATATTTAAAGAAATTAAATAATAAAGAATCTGAATAAATGTATGTATGTTTCCCGCATTCTGATAAAACAACGGTACCTAGAGCTATCAAATTTTGAATAACGTGATATTCCACCGAATATGGGCATCTGAAAACCCTAATTTGGAATTTGAATTCATATTTTGTAATAGTTCGACGAATGTTTGATTAACAAACTCGGTGACTTCAAAGCGAGCAATGGCAACACTGTCCGAAAAAGAAGCATTTTTATCTCCAGCGCGCGAGTTTATGTATCGGAAATTCTAAAGATATGCTCATTTTAAAATTATTTTTGCGATATTGCTGTTGAATTGAATTTTATGGTTGAAGTGCAAAGAAGACTTAATAAATAAAGGTAACACACAAAAAGTTTAAAAAATCTTCCCTTTGGGCGTACAAGAGAACAAAGATGTTTCAAATGTGGTAAAAGAGGACACCTTAACAAAGAATGCAATTTCCACAAGAAAAATGTGTCAACTGCAAGCATGCTAATACGCATTATCATTTGAATTTGGATATCAATCATAGTAGTGTAAGTAAAAATTGTGCAAGTAAGCAAAGAGAAATGGATCTGTTAATTAAAAAGATTAATTATGGATATAGTTAAAATAACACAGTTAAATTTACAGCACTCACGGAGTGCAAGTGCACAATTAAAAGTTGACATTGAAAATATTCCAAATTTAAAAATAGCTTGCATACAAGAACCTTACCTCATTAAAAATGCTGTAAGTGGATTTCCACAAAGATGTAGGATCTATTCTCACCAAATACAAGCAAAAGCTGCAATAATTGTGAAAGTGGGCTCTTTTTCAATCATTCAGATTCTCACAACGGAGGAAATAACAGTAATCAAAGTAGAAGGATCGCCCGCTTTTATATTAATCTCCGTCTACTGTCCACCAAGCACAGAAATTGATCCAATATTAATTACATTAGAAGGAATAATAAATGATGCAGGTGATCTTCCAATAGTTATCTGCGGCGATTTTAATTCAAAACATAGTATGTGGGGTCCAGTACCAACAAACCGACGTGGAACAAAAATGGGAGACTTTCTAGAAACAACTAATCTCACAGTTATTAATGAACAAAACAGCCCCCCTACATTTATAGGTCCTCTGGGAAATTCATGGATTGACTTAACTCTCCTCAAAGGGCTACGAAGTTTAAAAATAGAAAATTGGGAAGTTGATCCGAGAGACACGTTAAGTGACAATAAAGCAATTAATTTTGAAATCCACATGGATATGAGGCCTTCTTCTCAAAAACTCAAACTGAGAATTGAAAACTCTCAATGGCTTACATTAAGGTAGGAGATAACAGATCTTTCTTGTTCAGAATTTAATTTGAATTCTGATGCAGAAATTAATTCTACAATTAAAGAAATTTCAGAAAAATTAAAGACGCTCTTTAAACAACATTTAAGGCATTTACCATCTAATAAAACACACAAAACTACAAAAACTTGGTGGAGCCATGCTCTCACACAGGAAAAGACAACTAAAGAAATTGCGCAAAAAACTATCAAAATGCAAGGAATCAAGATAGGAAAGATAAACGTCAAATCTACAATAAAGCAGCGGCGGCTTATAAAAGAAATATATATAATGCCAAATTACAGGCTTGGGAGAATTATTGGAGAATTTAAAACTGAAATCTCCCTTTACTTACTACTACGATATAGTTAAAGGAAAAGGATATAAAGCACTTAAACTCTGTAAAATTAAAAGGACAGATGGTAGTTGGACAAACAGTTGAAGATACTCTACGCTATATAATTTGTGTTCACTTCCCTCAGGACAACATTGACGATGATAAGGAAGAACACAGAGAGATAAGAATAAATCGTTCTATGATAACTCCAGACACAGATGATGATCTCCCAGTAACTACCCAAGAAATAAAAAAATATCATGAAATCTACAAAAAGAGGAAAAGCGCCGGGGGACGATGAACTTTCCATAGATATCGTAGAGGAAGTCTTTATTGCTAATCCAAATCTAATGACTCGAATTATGAACAGATGTTTAGCAACTGGTTACTTTCCAGAAGAATGGAAATTGGTAATTTAGTCCTTTTTTCAAAAAGAAGGGAAAGATGTTACAAATCCCAATGCCTACAGACCCATTTGCCTTTTATCGGGTTGGGGGAAGATTTAGATAAGCTTATTGCACGATGACTAGCTCATTTTTTGATTGCAAATAAAATACTCAATAGCCAACAATATGGTTTCACAACGGGTAGTAGCACAATTGATGCAGTAAATAACCTAGTTAATGAAATTCATAACAATAGGATAAACAATCTTCATACTTGTGTTATTTCTTTAGACGTTGCATCAGCGTTCAGTAAACTTTGGTGGCCTGGATTGCTATCAAGGTTAAATAAAGTCAAATGTCCAAGAAATCTTTTTCGCATAATTCGAAGTTATTTGAGTAACCGTAAAATACAATATAAAAGAAATGGAGTCAATATCTCACATTCTTATCAAAAAGGGGCACCTCAAGGTTCCAACCTAGGGCCCACTTTATGGAATATTTTGGCTGATGCGGCTTTAAATTTAGAATTTGCCACAGGAGTAAAAATTCAAGCATATGCTGATGATTCTTAGTTAGTCATCATTTCTGGTAGCAACAGACTGCGAACTGAAGAAAAGGCTCATAGAGCTTTAGAAAAACTTAAGCACTGGAGCAATAAATATCAACTTAATTTTAGTATAGATTGATTGAAACCAAATTAATTTTGTTTCCTAAAGGCACTATATTACATAGATCGCCTCCACGTATTAAGTGGAACAACATTATCATCTCAAGAAGTTTTACATTAAAATATTTGGGTTTTATTCTTGATCAGAAACTCACATGGATTCCACACTTAGTACATTTAAAGGATAAAATACAAAATTTAATTCATAAACTAAATCGGATCATTTCTCAAAACTGGAGCAAGAAAGGAAAATTACTTAAAATACTTTATCTCAGAGCTATCGAGCGATTATTACTTTATGGGTGTCCCGTGTGGTTCACGGGAACCGTACGTCCAAAGCAAAAACTTTCACAAATACAAAGGTCAGTTCTTTTATGTATTACCAAGTGTTATTCAACATCTCCCACATCAGCTCTGCAAGTTCTCTCGGGCCTTATGCCTTTAGACATAAAAGCTGAGATGGAGAGAAAATTCTTTAGACTAATTCATTATAAGGAAAACTTGGAAATAAGCAATCTTGTTATATGGTACAATACCTTAGAAGAAAGAGTCCCGCACTTTCACACGCACCCTGCTCATCAAGACATAATTCCCTGGCATAAAAATACTCCAACACAGAAAAATATCGAAATCTTTACAGATGGATCTAAGATGGGTAAACATGTAGGTGCGGCTTTCGTTATGTACAACAATGGACACGAAGTTCATTCAGAAATTTATAGATTAAATGATATGGCTTCCGTGTTCCAAGCAGAGGTTCTTGCTTTAAAAAAAGCACTCATCTGGATAGGTTCCACAATAACTGACAACATTCCTATTCGTATTTTTACAGATAGTCCCTTCAAAGTTTAAATAGTGATAAAATTACGAAAAAAAGCATGCTTAGCTTAAAGGAAATCATAAAAACTCTTTTAGGTTCCCATTCTCTAGAGCTTAATTGGATTAAAGCTCACATTGGAACCGCAGGAGCAGATTCCGAAGCAAAAAGAGCAACACAACAAGATCAGATAGATGTTGAAGTGCCACTTTCAGAGGTTTCGGCCAAACATCAAATCCTGCAAGAATCGCTTAAAACATGGCAGCAAAGATGGAATGAGGACTCTACAGGACGTTCGACTTATGCCTTTTTTCCACAAATTTCTCTCTCTCGTATACAATCAGATCACATTTTAAATCAAATCTTGACAAATCATGGTAAATTTCCGCAATATATGCAAAGATTTCATAAAAAGAACACAAGATGTGGCTGCGAGACAAGTGGAGAGCTTACATCACGTCTTGTCCAATAACAGTAAAAGAAAGAACAACTCTTTTTCCATCGCCATTGCCTTCACTGGAAATATTGGCAAAATGCAGTTCTACTCTTAATACCATGAAGTCAATTATGTAATTTATACATGTAAATGACTCAGACTTTATTGCTTATCGTTAATCCTACAATGCTTAAGTCATTCTGATTGTTATTTTTTCTTCCATTCACTTCAATGTAATGGTCATTTATTTAGTCACTGTAGTGTTTACTGTAGTGGTGTAGTGTATACACCTGCAGGAAATTGTATATCTGTTTATAAGTTTCTTTGAATTTTTCTATTATTTTGTTATTATTTTGTTATTATTTTATTATTATTTATTGTTATTATTATGTTATTATTTTATTATTATGATTTTATTTGTATGATTAGATTATTATGATTTGTTATGATTATTATTTTGTTTGTATATATGTTTATTTTAATTTTACTCTGCTTTAATTAATTGTTCATTTATGTAAAAAGTTTTTTTTTCCCTAAATTACGCTAGCATTGTAACGTCACTGGCTGCCCCTTCACTTCCTGTTTTAGCCGTCATGACTTCCGTTTAGCCTTCCCTCTCAGCCCTTTTATTCGATAGGCTTGGCTTCATTTCGCCTGTTCCCCTTCTTTTTAGCCGTAATAGTTCTCCCCTTCTTAGACTAGTTTTTGGCTTTTTGTTTCTTTCCTTTTAGCCGAAAGGCACCCCTCCTCTTTTAGCCGCTTGTTTTTTTTTTTTTTTTTTTTTTTTTTTTTTTTTGTTATAGCTCTTTTGCTTAGTTGACGTGCTCTGCCCTGTTTTAGCCTATTGGCTTTAGCCCACTTTGGTAGATAGCACCTGTCTCCTCCTGCCTAATTCGGAGTGAGGTAACAGAGTAGTTAGAAGCGTGGATTCCAATCGTTACACTTTAACAATCGTTTTGTAACAATTAGAATAGTTACAAAACACCGCAGTTGCTTTCAGTAGAAGGAGCGGTTAAAAGAGTTTGTTGTTGTTCCCTTTGGGCGTGATGTAAAATCTGAAAGCTTTCGGATTTTTTAAAAACATTTTTAGTTTATATTACAGAACAATTGTTTAAGAATAATTCCAGTTATTTTAAGTACCTCTTTTTATGGAGTTACGGGTATTATTTTGACTAACATATTTATATTTCTCTATATAAATACGCCTTATGAGCATACAGTATAAAACAGCCTTATAGAGCTGGATTGTTCATACAATCAACTAAAACTTTTATAGGTAATTATAAAAAAAGCGATGTGTCCTGTCCAGAATTTCTTGTAGCAGAACTAAATGCAACAGTGGACGAAGCATATTAATGAGTTGGGGGATTGGGTCATTCACATGGATCATGAACGTTTTGGTCTTTGGGTGTCTATGACGATGCTATATATCACATCCAGCCTTTTACGGAATTAAACGCAATTGTGCACAACGCATATCAATAAAGTGGCCGATGATTCGCTGCTCATTTTGCATTACTTCCGTATAGTGGTGTTAATAGTGTTTCGATTCATAGCAGCTACGTAATCTTGACGTGTATTTTGCCATCAGAAATCCTTTTCTTGATTATTTCTTTACAAGACGATAAGAAAGCACAATCAATGCATAATTTATTGGGGAAATATTCGAAACGGCATCAACGACTGACTCACCCAAAAGCAGTTTAAAAAGACACAGTAAATTATAACAATACATTTTGAAATTAAAAGAAAAATGCTATCAACAATTTACCTGTATTTTTAAGCAATTTAATTTGGAGAATAAGATCGTTTGGTTGCGTAACTGAAATCATTCAAAGTAGAAAGAATGTAAATAACGAAAAGCAAATATGTTTTAAAATCTTGAAATCAATTGATAAATAGCATTAAAGAACAATATTTAGTACAAGAGAAACTGAAACGGCGGAATTAATTGTTGACATATCATTTTTATTTTTGTAAATAAATATTATTTATAATTATCAGATAAATACTAGTTATTTTTGGGTTTGATATTTATTAAGGGAAAACTTGATTCGGAACAACGCATTTTAGATTTCATTTTGGCAACAATAAAATGTTAAATGTTTTGTAATTGCTTTAATAGCGATGTGTGTAAGCAACCACTAAAAAAACAAAAGTAAGAAAAATTCCTATCACTGTGAGGTATTTTGTAAATAATAAATTAATTTATGTCAAACAGTGTCTGTTTTTATGCTATATATTTTTATTAAAAGGTAGTCAGTGACAAACTTATGAATTTAGATTCGGGTTAAAATGTCAGTTATTACTGTTTAGAACGACTAACTTAAAAAAGTTTATATATTCTGTATTAAGTACAGTTAAACTGTGTGTGGATAAAAAACAATGTCCAAATATTTATGAAATTTTTTATTATTCATCTTGTATTTTAGTCTACTTTTCTTTTGCTTCTCTAATTTTATGGCATAGATATTTTTATTCCAATAGTAATTTGCCCATCGTTGTCCTTTAAACACAGATAACATTTTCTTCGTTTAATCCGGCGTCGGTTATTCCGCAGTTGACTAGGGTAGATCTTATTCCATTTCTTTATATATGCAATTAATTTAAACGACATTATAAACATGCCATTCGTTCATTGTTTTTAATTCAATTAACGTATTTATTTGCATTAACCTTCGAGCGCCATATTTAGTGCTTGCAATAAAATAAAATAAGATTAAAAAACAGTTTTTATAAAATAAGCTTTTATTTATAAAACTAATATCATCAAATATGAACTCAAAAAAGAAAAATAATTTATCATATAGCTCCATGCGAACAAGATATTAATTAAATAATTTTCTTCGCAAAATTAATCCTCAATTTTACGTCCCGAGTAGTGAAAACGCGAAAAGTCTTTGATAAATTTATAAATATAATTAATGGCTTATACGTTTGACAGTGTAATTAGATACATTCTTATGACTTTAGAAATCACGTGCCTTATGTATAGCTAAAGTAAACAAACAACGCAGATGACCTCAGGGGTCTCGTGACTTATGTATAATAGTTAATGTAAACAAACATGGTCATTCTTCCTCTTCTTCTTTAACGTGTCTCAGTGGATAAATAAATTCATCGTTTGGAGGTTCAAGCTCTCATTATTAGTGCTATTAGATTGTAGAAGCATTTTATAAATATTTTATTTCTTGCACTTAGTTGAATATATGATAAATTATTTTCTACATTAAGTTCATTAAATATTCCATTTTTGAGCTTAAATAAAAGCTTATTTTATATTTTTTGGCCATTTTTTAATATCAAAGACACATTAGTGATGAAATTATTCACAAAAAAAGAAACCTCGCGTATAAAATATCTCAGCTTGGGAAGATGTACGCGATGTTAATGTTATTGGAAAGCTTTGAAATCGTTGAGTATGTTTAAAGTTTTACAAAATATAAAATAGATAATAAAATAAATTCCAAATACTCATATTTGAGGGGAGGACTACGTTATCCAAATTTTAATGTCTCTAGATACTGTTGTTTTTTGACAATGCGAGAAACATACATTCATGTAGCTCATTCATTATTTAATTTCTTTAAATATAATGAAGGGCTCTAATATTTGATGGCAACAATTCTAAAATTGATTCAGACTTTAGTACGGAACCAACGCAAAATGCCGAAACAAAAGGCTTTCTGAGCTAACGCTCCTTTATGCTAGAAAAATCTGTTCACAGCATTGCATTGTCATCCATAAAAAGTTATGTTCACTATTTTTCATTAATTGAAGAATAGGTTTGCAAACATTATTATTCTTTATCACATTCCTTAAATCAAAAATTTAAAAAGAAATTAAAGCTTTATCAATAACCACTGCAGAAAATTTTATGTCAATGGCAAACAATTTCAAATAATTGAGTTCCTAAAAAAAAAAAAAAAAAAAAACAATCTGGTGAACAATCATTTTATTAGCATTTTCCTCGACAGATGGCACTATATTTGTTTTCGGTTTTCTGTGTTCATTGATTTCCATATGAATATGTTGTTTCTTCACTCACCTCTGCAAACTCTGGACTAGTCCAATGCTTTAGATGCCAAGGCTTTCATCATTCTCAAGCCGCCTATCATAATGATTTTTAATGTGTCAAATTTGGAGACAGCCACGATTCTAGAATATGCCAAAAAGATAAGAATGCTCCAGCTAAATGTGCTAACTGCAGACTGGATCATACCGCTTCCTTTAAAGTTGCGAAATGTTTCCCAAACAAGCCAAAACAAAACTTGTTAAAACTTATCCTGACAGATTTATCATCAACAAGTCCTTTGCGGATGCCATCAAAACCACAAATGGATCCATACCTAATTTCACCAGTGAAGCTAAAAAGATCTTCGAAGATCTTAATATACCTTAGTTAATTTCCTGAAAACTTCAGTAATACAACTTTTAGCACAAAATATCAGAAAACAAGAAACTCTTACAGAATTAGATATATCCAAATCACATAAACAAATTCAATAATCTCACACATCCACTCAAATTGTGCTATTCGAATGCCGCTGGCATATTGAACAAAACTGATGAATACACGAACTTTTTAGCCGAATATAACATCGACATCGGCATGATTTCGGAAACATATCTTCTTCCTGCCGATAGACTTTATGTGCCAAATTACCATATATACAGAGGTGATAGAACCACGCAACGACGTGGTGGAACTGCAATCCTTATAAAAAACTCTATTCAATCTTGCCTTGTCTCCTCAGTTTGTACTGACGGATATGAAAGTGTGACAGCTGCTGTTGTGCATCCAAATAAAGAAGTTATGCATTTTACTGCTATTTACAACCCACCTAAACATAAATTTTCTGATAACATACTCAACAACTTACTTTCAGAAGATCAACAAGTAATCATTCCTGTAGATATTAACGCCAAACATATGGACTGGGGATGCCGCCGAACAAATGCCAATGAACTTCATATGTAACTTCATATGTGTAGAATCGGTACTTACTGTCTAGGAATATGATGCCTGTAAACTTACTTCTTTTGTGGCTGTCTAGGGGCTAATAAACTAGTCCAATTTACAAATAACTTGAATATTTAATGGAAACATGAATAGTTGCTACAAACTACAAAATGATTACATGTGTAGAAGGATGAATTTACATAGATGATATTTACAGATGAAGAGAATCGACCGTCTTTTACATGTAAACATCTTTCAGTCGCATCATCGTCTTAATGGCGGAATCGTCTGACTTCTATCATCGGAAAAGTAAAAGATTTATTCTCACAGCTTGTCGCGTCATCGGATTATAATGAACGATGCCATCCCACAACTGCTCCGCCTATTCTGACAGAATGCGGCCTCGCATTCTCGCAGTACCACTATCTACATATAGGAATCTGGAAAATAAAACTAAAAACCACAACCAAAAAAAAAAAGATTTTTAGTTAGTATTGAAGGAAAAGTCGTCTTAAATGGTTTATTTCAGCCATCTTCTCTCAACATCTTAACATCTTCAGAAATAACGGTTTTATCTCTTCTGCAATGCTCTTTCAGTGTTCGTTCATCTTTAACAGTCTATCTGAATACATGTATTTCACAAACACGTCTTCTTTGATGTTGTCTGGTACAACCCGTCTATATTCGTCTCGTACATATGTCTTCTTAAACATCGTCTGAATACGTCTTCGGAATGCGTCTTCTTAAACATCATCTGGATACGTCTTCTGAATGCGTCGTTAGACATCTCAAGATTCGTCATTCGAATGCGTCTTCTTAAAATCATTTTCTTTAAGCCGTCTTCCTTCATACATTTCATCCTTAGACATCATCTTCATTCTTCTTAAAATAGTTCATTAGTCAAATCGGGAAAAATTAGTCAAAAGAGGAAAACGTCTAAAATCAGGAATCATCAAAATCGTTATTTCATTATCAAAGCCTTTTGGTTTTCTTCCTGGATTTTCTGATGTTCTGAAACTGTTTTTTCCCTTCTTTTTTCTCATCTTCTTTAGTTTCTTTTGTTCCGTCTTTGCTTTCTGTATCAATGTCGTTGTCATCAGGTTTTCTAACTGACTTCTCCTTTTCAATCTTCTCCTCTTCTTCGGTAGTCTCTGTAGTTTCCTTGTCTCCAGTGGTTTCTTTTGCTTGTCTGTTATCAGATATGTTACTGAAGTTTTTTTAGTGGAATTAGCAATTAATTCATCATAAACTCTAATATGAGACTCTTCTTTGGAAACATGCTTCTTTTGAGAATCTCCTTCTTCAGTGGTGTTTCTCCTCGTTGGCATCAAAGCTAATTGTATTATGCTTGAGTTTCCTTTTTGCACTAATTCATCTTTAATAGCATCATTTTCATTTGCAGCAGAATCTGCATCACTCGGAACGTCGTCAGAATTCACAGTCAGGGAATCTTTGCCACTTGCTTTGATTGTAGATGAAGTATCCAGTTTGATCACATTCTGTACTGTAACAGGAACTATACTAACAGGATCAGTTTCTGGTTTTGGAAGTAAAAAATCATAATTAACAACTTTTTCAAATCCTTCTTCAGAACCATTTCCATTGCAATAAGCATTTTTTTGCTCTTCAGAATCATTCTCAGATTTCTTGCTTTCTGTGATAACACAAATATTTGATCGAAATGAAGAACCATCGATTTCGAATTCACCATCAAATTTTTCTATAGGCTTAATTTTCCCATTACCAAACCCCGTTAACTGTAGATATGCCGACTTACGTTCAGGGAACCTATCTTCTTATGTATATCTTCTCGGATTAGCGTTACTTGACTACCAGTATCTATTAAAGCATCAATTTGCAAATTACCCAAATTAACAGTTTTATGCATTTTTTTCTGACAAGTCTGAGTTATTGGAGTTACAGCTTTGGCATCTTGGATATTTTTAGAAGATGTTTTGGAACAATCTACGGCTTTGTGTCCAAACAAATTACATTTAAAACATTTAAATCCTTTATTCTTATTGTTACACGAATTAGATTTATGACCTAAACTTTCACAATTATAACACCTTGGCTCTTTAATCTTACTAGGTATAGCGCGTGCTTTATTTTGTGTATTAGTACTTGAATAATCCTTATTTTTCGTATCTGGAACGCGAATTTTCTCATAGATTTTTAATTTCTCTTTGAATTCAGAAATAGTTTTACGCCCATACAAAACAATTTTGTTACTACTCTGATCTGGTATCCCATGGATTACATAATCAAGAATTGATGAATCATCAACAGAACCGCGACTGGCTATTTCACGCATGGCAATTAAATATTCTGAAAGTGATTCACCAGGTTTTAAGTGTCGTTTCTGTAATAAATTGTGAAGTTGTGCACTGTTTATTTTAGAACCAAATTCAGATAAAACATTTTCTTTTAATTCGCCCCATGATATTACACCTTTCAAAGACCTAATAAATACTTTAGCAGAACCAGTAGGCAATTTTTTGTCAAACTCAATTTTCTGTAATTCCGATAACTTAAATAATTTAAAAGATTCTTCTAAATCACCAATGAAGGATTCAACTGGATATGTATCAGTGCCATTAAATTCAGAAACATTTTCTAAGATATCACGAAAATGTAGGAAGATATTCCTAGGCATTATAATGTTTTCTTCCACTGAGTTATTTCTGGGAGGTGATTCTGACCGAACAGAATTAACATCATCATTTTTATCAGAATCATAAACACTTTCGTTTTCAGATAACTCATCATCGTCATCACTTTCGGATTTTAGAAACTTAAAATCACAAAGACTATTCAATATTAAATCACAGTTTTTATCAAGATTTGAATCATGATATTAAGGTGTAACAAATTACACACAGAAATAAAATCATTTGCAGTAAGAGTTTTAAGTAATTTTTGTTTTGTTTCTTTATTAAAATCAGATAGAAAACTACAAAAGTTATGCAATCTCGCTCTGTGTTTTCGATCACCCAAAGTTCCAAACACAATTTGATGTAAAAGTTTAATTGACTTAGTAGGCCCAGTCTTTCAAGAATTTGAAATTCTAGGAATAGAATTTAAGGTAGTCATCTTAATTCACAGTATCGTAGAACACTATTCTTAGAAGTAACAATGTGGAAATAATCGAAACAAAACTTATTTCTTTTCTTTTGTAATATTCATCATAAGTCTTCCTAAGCTCATCGCGGCCTGAGCGCCCAAATCTGTAGAATCGGTACTTACTGTCCAGGAATATGATGTCTGTAAACTTACTTCTTTTGTGGCTGTCTAGGGACTAATAAACTAGTCCAATTTACAAATAACTTAAATATTTAATGGAAACATGAATAGTTGCTACAAACTACAAAATGATTACACGTGTAGAAGGATGAATTTACATAGATGATATTTACAGATGAAGAGAATCGACCGTCTTTTACATGTAAACATCTTTCAGTCGCATCATCGTCTTAATGGCGGAATCGTCTGACTTCTATCATCGGAAAAGTAAAAGAATTATTCTCACAGCTTGTCGCGTCATCCGATTATAATGAACAATGCCATCCCATATATGAAACCATCCAAATGCATGTCCCGATTGAATCTACTTATAGACCAGCTAATCCAAGTCTACTTATAGACATTATTATCTCTAATAATTCTATTCCCCTTGTTCTCTAAGTCAAATCTGAGCTTACCTCCGATCATGTACCAGTTATCGCTACTATTGGTGTTATGAAAGAAGACTCTCCAATTATTAAGAGCTATACTGATTGAATCAGTTTCCACAACATCCTGATTAAACAGCACTCTTATTTCCATGCTCTCTCTATCAAACAGGATATTGACCATGCCATTAAGGTCTTCACTGACAACATTCTGAAAGCTTTCCATGATGCGACTGTCACTAGGCAACTGACTAATAATAATTTTAAACTCCCTCGAAGCATAAGAGAAGTTATTAAAGAACGCAATAGAAAACTTAAACTCTGGTATCGTAATTGGGATCTGGCTTTAAAACGAGAAATTAACATTTTAAACAGAAGAATTAAACAACTTATTTTTTGATTTCAAAAGAGAATCCAAGGAAGAATTCCTCTCCAAACTGTAACATCAATGATGACGGCTCACTTTGGAAATAATTTCAAAATCTCAAGAAGAAGACCATTTACAATAGACCTCTCCATTCTGGTTCTACTGTTGCATATTCGATTCATGATAAAGTTAACATTTTTGCTGATTACCTTGAAGAACAATTTATTCCAAACATGGACCTGATGAATATATTTTAAAGATACTCTTGAAAGTTATGTACATTCATGACTCTATTCTTCCACTGCTCACAATTTTCCGAAGTTTGCAACTCCATTAGAGGTTACTAACATCATTCGTTATCTAAATATTAAAAAAGCTCCTGGAAAAGATCAAATCACCAATCAAATGCTTCGAAATCTCCCAAGAAAAGTGATTAGTAAACTTACTTGTATCTTGCCTTATTCTTAATTATTTTCCTGATTCTTGGAAGCAAGCCAAAATTTTTCTTCTGCCTAAACCAGGCAAAAATGTTTCTAAACCAGATGGATATAGACCAATCAGCTTATTATAGAACCTTGGAAAAATTTATGAACGTCTCATCCTCAAAAGATTAGAACTTTATATGCATCTTCTGCCTAATGATCAATATGGTTTTCGTAAAGAAATCTCAGCACCACTCGTCAGTTGGTCAGGATTGTGGAATTAATTAGTTCTGCATTTCATAACAAGCAAAATGCAGCGCTCCTTATTCTGGACGTGGCAAACGCCTTTGACCGAGTCTGGCATGAGGGGCTTGTTTTCAAGCTCATCAACCTTTGATTGCCTAGAGAATTAATTCTCCAGATTTATTCCTTTTTTCAGCATCGCAAGTTCTTTGCCTCACTAGACAATGAAACCTCTACTCTGAGACCTATAAGATCTAGTGTCCCACAAGGAAGCATCCTCGGACCGGTTCTTTACCTGTTTTACATGTCGGACTT